GGTACAGTTGCATAAGGATTATGTGATGCTAAAGCACCCATTGTTCTGAGAATCATATAATGTGGCAAACATTTGGTTTTAATTGATTCAGTAAGAATCCATCACTTGTATAGAATGGCATTGTCCAAGAGCTACCAAACTAAAGACGCATTTTCATTTATTCTTGAGTGGTGTTAGAAGTATTTGTCATTTCAATGACACTGAGCTCAATAGCTTGTAACACGCTATCTCCATCAAGATGCATAGTATGAGTATTGCATACATTTTTAAGTATGCTCATTATTAACCCAACATGAGTGGTATTTAATTTTTTATTTCGCTTGCGATAAGAACATAATGTTTTAACAACTTCATTAGGATATCGTTGAGCTAATTTAAATAATGAATCTGCTATAGCATTTCTTACAACAATCTCCTTATCATTACCAGACTCTAATAAAGTCCCAATGGAAACTAAAAATAATGTTATTTTAAATGTAACATAGGGTTATTAATACATGAGCATAGCCAATTGAAATAGTAAAACAAAGAAACAAAAATATAGGATTCATTAAAAAGCGCAGCGGTATTAATAAAATCCTTTTATATTTACCTATAATTTGTGTTCTTAAGTAATATTTACCTATAACTTGAGATTCTTTTTCATTCTGTTCGTATGATTTATCAAAAACACCGTCCATTATAATAGTAAAGTCTAATACAATAATTAATATCCAGATATTAATACGGATTCTATTATTGCAACATCATTGTAAACAGAAACGCATTTAATATTGTTATCAAGTTTGACATTTGTCACGTGGTAATATTTTGATAGCGATTATCCTGAAACCCCTGAATTTGCTGATAGGGTGAAGTTGCTTATGCGGTAAATTGACATATGCATGACATATGTGTCTAGGGTTGGGAAGAATGTGTCAGTTGGTGTCAGTGCCTGTCAAGCGTTTGTTGAAAGCAACCATAGAGAAAAGAAGAGGATAACAAAGAGTGTCTACAATATTCAATAAAAACTCCCTTGTACTAAACAAATGGCGCCAATTTCAGGTATGGAATCATATGGAATAATAATAATTATGCTAAGTGCTAACAATAAACAACTGTCTATTTAAAAGAAATTTTATCAGCCTTGTCTAACATTTAAAACATCTTTCAACTGTGCCATTTTCTTTACATTTTAGAAATAGAACTACAAATAATAAATTTTTTTTGCGTATTTTCAACAAACTGAATAATATATAAATAATTATTTATTATAAAATTTAGAATAACTTGATGATATTTTGCCTTGAGGCAAGTTGCATGAACTTTCTGATATGGGTAATTAATCGACTTAATCAATAAAAAATAAATTAATTTTTGAGTGATTAAAAGTATTCCGAGTAGATTTATTCGAAGTACAGTAAACCCTCGCTTTACGCGGCAAGTGCGTACCGTGCAGTATAGGAACCGTGCTATAAGAAACTCGTATTTAACATACAATTCAGGCTAATTCGTAGTGCGTTCTATGGAACCTTACATAGTGCAGTATGGGAACCGTGCTATGAGAGACTCAGAGTTGGTACAAATCGCACCATTTTTATCGCGTTGTATGGAGACCAAGAAATACAACTTGAAGTAGGAGAAATACGGACGAAATGATATGTAGGACATTGACACCTTATTCAAAAATTGGCGCGACGCAGTAGTCAGCTCAAACGTGTTCTTAGGCGGCTATTATACAATCAGGCATGTCTAAAAGATAAAAGTCGATAACAAAATTTACATCAATACCCTTTTGCACAACGAACTTATGGGCTGTTGACCAAATACCGTGTAATAAGAAGTCCGTGTAGTCGGAGGGATGTCGGATTTTTAGCTCCGTGTAGTATGGGAACCGTGTACCCAGAGTGCCGTGTAAAGCGAGGGCCTACTGTATTTTCTAAAAGGAAATGTTCACAAATCAATGCTTTTATAATTGAACCAGTTTCCGTAGGACTTTAATGGTTTAGTATGTTTATTAAGAGCAAGTACTCTATCGTTACACTAAGTAAATTGTCTAATTTTAATTTTAACGAACGTCAAAAAAATACTAGCTCATTTTCTCAAACTTTCATGAATTTTTAAACTACATGTAGTAAGACCGCAATATTTCAGTAAGTTTTATAAGACCATGATATATATCGCCAAAAAAAGTTCCATAAAAATCGGCTTAATTTTTTTTTTCAAATGTTAATAACAAGAAAACGGCTCGGTAGATTTTCACCTAAATTTAATTAATATCATTCCCAACTAATAACTTTCGAACAGTTTTTGATGTTTTAAAATTGATTCGGTAGTATGAGCTTAAATGTGAACGAAAAGTTCAAAACTTTTCGGCGATTTACAAAGAAACGGCTTGGCTGATCGTCGCGCAAAATTGATGAACGCTAGTCCTTATCGAGAGACATCAAATAGCTTTCAAATTTTTTAAATCGGTCCAGCCGTTTTTGAGAAAACGTCGATTTAGGGCAAAAAATCTGTTCACATACGCACATACATATACTTTTTCAAATTTGGTCTCATTCGATTCATGATGGCTTGAAACGTCGAGAAAACATAAAATTAACAAATCGGATTTTTTAATGAAAACATAAACTCCTCCTTTAGTTAATGATTATTCATTATCAAAATTAGAAACAAAAAAAAAATAAACATATTATAATTATCACAATTTAATCAGAAATCCTCTTACAAATCATACTTATTTCTACTTCTTTTGTTTACATCCTTAGAAAATAATTCCTCACTATCATTTCTTCTCCGTTTTGATTCATCTCTAATATAACTTTTTCTATAAGTTGATCTTTCTGAAAAATTATGGTGTTTTTCTCTTGAACTTCTGCTATAATAAATCCTATCACTCCTACTGCTTTCACTTGATAAACGTCGTGAAGACCTTTCGCTTCTATATGAGCGCTCTCTAGGTGTACGATCTCTTCTATGTGTTTCAGATCTTTTATTATTATCATCGTGTTTCTTAGTTGCTGATGGAGGTTCTGGTGATTCGGACCATCTCCAATTCCTTCTGCTGTCGTCATTATCAAATGGATCTTCAAATGTTCTACAAAACAATATTGATTGTATAAAAGAATACCAAAAATGTCTGGTTTAAAGTACTTTTGTACTATATTTTATAATGATTGTTAAAACTTACTCATTATAATTTGTTTCATTTTTGTGGTCACTCAGATTACCGACTCGGTGTAAATCTTTGTCTGCATTTAAAAACAAATTCCCAGGATTTTTATAAACATGTAAAAAATTACATGCTTGACCTTTGTGGCATAATTTTTTGAAAAACATGCCTGCTTATTTAAACAGAAAGAATTAATATTTAAAAATGAAATATTACAACATTAAAAATAACATTAGCTTATAATGTTCTTGCTTAATATTAATACATACCAATAAAGTATGTTCAGAGTTTCCAGATTAAAATATTTCTTTAATATCGAATAGTAAAAGCTTTTATTAAGTTAAGGCAAAATTGTACAACATTTTTAAAAAACTCGATTTTTAAAATTCTCTTAACAGTTATTGTTAGTTGCGCCAATTAGTGTCAGATAAGAAACATAAATGAACGCAAACAAAAAAATATTGTCATAAACGTTATTACTACATCCTGTATACTGTTTTATTTTGTTTCAAAGGATACCACTAATATTTTGAACTGCTAACATACCGCATATTGCCTTTTTCCAAGAAGATACGCCACTGAATTCAACATTTAATTGCTTACCGCCATACCATCTGCCCTGAAATTGCCTGTAGGCTTTCAAAGCATCTCTGAAATTAAATATATGCTGAAAATGTAAATATGAATATAAAAAATATTTAGAAAATATTATTACCTTGTTCTTTCATATTCCACATAAACATTTCCTCTGAGATGGGGTTCTGTATTACAGCACACTTTATATTGGACAACTCGTCCAGATTTTTTAAACTCAGCTATTGTATCAAAGAAAAACTCTTTGAAGTGTTCATATGTTTCCTTGTCATCATATTCTAATGCCATATCATTTCCATATTCTGATTGAAAACATTTTTCAATTCCAAAATGAGTATAAAAATTTCTTAACAAGAGAACCTAAATTAAAATCATTAGAAGTCATATGATATAATATATATATATATATATATATATATATATATATATATATATATTGATAATTAAATTACATACTTTGCTGATCCCTGGACTTTGATGATTTCTTGAACAACTATCTCCAAATCTGCACGCACCAATTTTAGTAAAGAATGGGCACAATGGCTTTGATGGATTTGTGTCTTTAGGTGTTTTCAGCTCATCAGGAATTTTACCACCATCTTTTATAAAATCTTCAATTTTTTGCATAAGAATTCTATATCTTTCTTCTTGTTCTTTTTGGATTTTAGCCTTACGTTCACGTTCTTCTTCAATTTTCTTCTGTTGTTCTTCCCATTCCTTAAAAAAGTAATATAAATGAAACTACTTGCAAATGGATTATGCATAGATAGTTTATAAATTAATTAATAATTAACATTACCTTTTTAATTAACTGTTGCTGTTTTTCTTTGAGTTCTCTAGCTGCTTTGAGTTTTTCTTGTGATTCTTTCCATTTTTTCTGTGCCTCCAATTCATTTTCTAGCCATTTTTTGTGCTCTTCGTCTCTAATTCGTTCTTCTTCTTGTTTTTTAAACAATTCTAGCGCCTTTTGTTCAGTCTGCCATACGATATATTTAGGATCCTTCTCCAACAGTGATTGTACTTGAAGAAAAATATATATTGAAATAAGTCATCATATTACTCCAAATCAGAGTTATTTATATTATTATGCAAATTTTATCGTTGAATGTAATACTTACATTTTTCTTGCTCTTCATCTCTGGCCTTTGCAAAAGCCTGCCGCAAACGTTTTCTCCTAAACTTTTTTGCAATTTTTCTCCATTCTTTATGTCTAAATAATTTTAAACAAAATTTAATTAGAATTATGTTGTTCAAAATTTGTACATTATAAAAATTGGAGTCAATATACTTTAATTTGGTATTAACATCTGATTGGTCCATGGTTATATGATTAAATACAGTTTCATATCAACAAATAATATTTGATTATAAAAACATATATTAGGATTTTGCAAATATATTAATAAAGATAAATTTACACATTTTACAATTTGTTTGTTATACTTTTATAGGTTATGTTATTGACATTATCAAACACAGGATGCTCATGAATCAGAGGTGTGGAACATTTTTTACAAAACATAACACAGGGTACAACAAACAAAAAAATCTAATAAATTATGAAAAATAATCAACACTATTTTGTTATTTTTGAAGATTAGATATAATAAAATGTCAAACAATTAAATAATGTAGACCAGAATTAACTTCCCTTAGGGTAAGTTATAGTAATGAGCCGAAAATCGAAAATGAAATTTTTTGCAAATCTTCACGTTTCAGAAGTTTATCAACATTTTGGTATACCTCAAAAAAAATGGATATGTGTGTGTTATGTGCGTCCGCATTTTTTCGTTCACGTTTTCGGGCACATAGATAACCGATTTGAATGGTTTAAACAGCATTCGATTCCTATTGGTAGGGAGATGTGCTGATTAGTTTTTGGCAAAGGCAGGTCCAGCCGTTACGGAAATACGGAGCAAGGAATGCAGTTTTGAGAGCATCTAATTTAATGATCCAAAAAAACATTCAATTCATAATGACGAGGATAAGTGACGATTAGTTTTTGGCAAAGGAAGGTCCAATCGTCCTAAGAGAGAACTAAGCGTCCGATTTGAATGATTCAAAGAACTTTCTGCTTGTTTTAACAAAATAATTGCAAATATTTTTTTTGAACATGGAAAATAATTCAGATTTCAATTTTAATACTGGCTAATGTTATAAAGTTCATTTATATACTTTAAATAAATAGTTTTTACTTTTCAATTCAGTTTATATAATTCTTATAAATATTAGACTATGTTACAGTATTTATAATAATCTGTTTGAAAACATTTCATATTTCTCGAACATTTCGTTACGGTACGGGAAGTTCCAGCAATTTGCCTTAAGGCACGATGCCATACACCGCTAGTTTAACTTAAGTTTTTTACAAAGCCATACTAAAATTAAGATCTATTGTTCTTCTTTTCTAATATTAACTAAAGTTGCATTTTTCACTTGTAAATTTTTAGGATAATTCATAAATAAAATTTTACAGTACCATTTTAACTTTTTGAAAACACAGAGTCAACTTTGGGTATTTCAACTAATATATTATTTTGTGCAATTATTACAATGTATGCAATATATTCAATAATTTATACAATATATATCAATATATTCAATAATTTATACAATAAATTATGCTAATAATTGCTAATAATTGTTCAAAGTAAATTTATGATAAAAACACTCTACTATCCATGAACGTTCAATAAATAATGTTAGTTTAAAATTAATTTAAAAACTATAATTCAAATATTATTTTTAGCATCTGACATTTTTTGGACCAGGTGTATTAATCTGAACCGTTATAAAAATATGTTAATAAAAATTGATAGGATATCAATGATTTGATTTGATTTAATATTGACTAAATTTACTGAGCAAGTTACAACTTAATTTCAATTGGAGCATTTTGACAACATGCAACACCAATAAACTTTTTTTTTTCAAAATTGTATGTACAGTTTTAAGTACTATCTGAAATAAATTAAATAAATTAATAATTGTGAAACAAACAAATTAAATATCATTTTAATCTTACTTCTTGGTGATTCAACAATGCATTTCACAGGAAATGAGAACTGGAAAAGTATTATTAAATATGTGGATCCAGCACCAGCTATCTGCATAATTAAATTAAATTAAAAATGTAGAGATAAAATCAATAATTTTAAATTTCGTATTTAAGTGATTGATAATAATTTTAAATTTATGTAATAAAATTATTAATTTCCAATTTAAGTGATTGATATTGACAATACTTACTGAACTCAAAAGGGAGCGTTCAATAGTAAAAAGTTGCCAGGCTGTAAAACATGGTTTTCTATTCATCATTTGCATCGAAATTTGACTTAACTGAAAATAATATAAATATATTTGATATTATATAATTGATACACACCAAGGTAAATTATAATATGATATATTGCATTTTTTTCTTTAACTTTTAATTGATATATTGATATATGCATAATACTGCTACCATATCAGTAGACCTAATAACGTTCAAAATTATAAATTTGGTGTCTGCATTGATTGTATTCAATGATTTTTTCAAAATAGAACTTAAATAAAAGTTTAATTTTTTTGTTTTATTGTACATAGGAAAATACGAAAAGAATCTTAGTTGCTTGCACTTCTAGATAATCAATTTACATAATAATAAAAAGTTTCCGGAATCAAATCACAAAGTCTTTATAAACTTGTACTATAATATTTCTTAATATAAAAATTAAATTAAATCAAGCAGGCAAAAATATATATCTCGGGTATAAATTTTAGTACGAGATCTAATATTTCTTAATATATGAATCAATATAAATTAACACGTTAGTCACCATGTCAGCCATATGTATCTGACGCTGATCCATGTCAGACACATATGCAGTTTAGCGAATTGGTAGAAGGAGAAAACAAAGTTTTAATATAGGGTCATGTCAGTCATATAAGTGTGACTTAATAAATAGTTGATTTCAGGAATTTTAGCAAAAAAAATCTTTTTCTTTTTGATACACTAAGTTTTCTTGAAACATTTGTAACTATATTATCTAATAAAGTTACCATAGCCCAGGTGAAAATTTTTCGGATATTATCGAAAATTAATAATCGATAATTAATTCGGATATTATGGCGATTAACGTGTTAAATAAAAAAAGCATTTTTTACTAATTTTATTAAATTTATTTTTACCCTCATTTTTATTTCTTGTTCTCCGCTATTATTTAGCAGTTTTAATATTAGCACATCAGACGATTTTGCCTGCAATGAAAATAGTCATGAGATTAAACCAAATGCGCCATTTATATGTGGCCAATGGAAATGATGTATAACTTGAACAAATTTCAATGAATTTTGATAAACTTTTTTTTTTATCAAATTCAAAGCCTTAATTGGGCAAACAAAACTTTGCTCTTTCCATTAACTACATATTGATGTCGCACCCTGTATTTATACTGGCAATACAGAAACTAATTTTAAGTAAAAATTGTATTGTACCAAAGTATTATAAGCAAAAAAAAAAAACTTTTTTGTTTAAAATTAAAAGTTTTAAAAAAATATTTGATTACGAGATAAGATGTAATTTTTTTGCCTAAATTTTACCGGAATTAGTCATTTATTTATTACCTCATCATTCAGAAGCGTGCACATATTCACGCAAGCAACAATTTGGAACAAATAAGAGCTAGTTTGGCTCGAAAAGAACATAATTACTCCAAAATAGTGCCAAACATCCGAATCATCACTGCTGAATGATATTAACGTGTAGTAAATCCCAAAAATAATTAGTAGAAAAGAAACTGCACATGTAACCAACATCTGTATTGAGAAGAATCTATCTAAGTAGTCGGCAGCATCACATATTGCATCATGTATTTTTCCTATTGAATCCAAAATGACATAACGTTTTTTATAACGCTGGCACAAAGAAACATTTCCATTAGCTGCAACTGTGTATAACTTGTTTGGATGTGCATTTATCCAAGGAATATTATCAAATTCTTCGAGTTCCTTCAACAATTTATTATAACAGATCAATCTATCAGTTATCACATACATCGACATGACAAACTGCAGGACTACGAAGGATAACATCAAATTTGGTATCACATATGCCCACCATATTGCTATATGAGGATACATGTTGTAAACTGATAGAAAAATGCTACTGCACGTGATATAAAATGAATACATTACGAATAAAAATATAATTGAATAAATTGAAACTTTTCGTGTTTTGATGTAGATAGGTTTCATATCAAAACCTATTTTTATGAGTTCCAAGTCGATCTTGTTCAGGATGCGGAATCCTTCGGTTAGTTCTTGTCTGTAACAAATATAATATATATTTAAGCTAGTTGGTATTGGTATTATGCCTTGAGGCAAGTTACATGAACTTTCCGATATTTACAAATAATCAACATAATCAATAAAAAATAAATTTATGCATGATTGATTAAAAGTATTCCGAGTGGATTTATTACACATAATTGAAAAAGAACGAACACGTTAACTCGGAGTGTATCTTCTAAAAGCAAATTTTTAAAAATCAATAATTTTTGTAATTGAACCAAGTTCCGTAGGACTTTAATGGTTTAGTATGTTCATTAAGACAAAGTACTCTATCGCTATACCAAGTAAATCGTCTAATTTTAATTTGAACAAACGTAAAAAAACTACTCATTTTCTCAAACTTTGATGAATTTTTAAACTTAAACTACTTGATGTAAGGCCGTAATATTTCAGTATGTTCTACAAGACCGTGATATATCGCCAAATAAAGTTCTAAATAGTTTCATTTGAAGACAAATTGTAATTCTTCCAAGCTTTAATGAATTTTTGTAATCAAATTACTTATCTTAGGACTATAATATTTTATATTATAACTATGCAAATTTTCGTTAGAATCGAAATTTTGGATGAGCAAGATTGGCAAAATCGGTACAGGATTTTTGGCAAAAGAGTAGATGAAGAATTATTCACTTAACTGCTAATTATTAAAAAAAGCTGGACCGATTTTGTGTGAAACTGACAAATTCGATTCCTTATTTAGTATGCTTTGACTAGCTTTGACTTTGGCTCGTGACAAAAATTTTTACCCAAAAATTAATCCCACAACTCTAGGATCCAAGTTTTATAGAGCTAAATGGTACGGGAAAGAGTTAAAATTGGTGCAACTGTTTTTGAAAATATCAGCGCAGAAATTTTTAAAATTATCAAATCGGATTTTTTTGGCAAAAACATAAACTTCTTCTTTCTCCAGTACTGTTACTCAAGTTTATAGAAAAAAGTTGCATGTGAGACTACAATTTTCTTACCTTCTCAACAAACTGGCAGCAAACATCAAAATCATTGATATGAAACCAACCAAAAGTTGGAAATTGTCCCCAAATTTTGATATTTCACTCTCATAAAAAAATGACACCATACTCCAGGATTCTATAACCACTTGTATTAAACATACCCCGTATAAAAACAACTGGATAGTAGTTAGGAAGATTCCGAGTTGGGTTACGTGGAATTCCTGTAATTGAAATAAAACTTATCACATTAAAATAATCAAATACTAAATTTCTAAAATACACACATTCATAGTTTTTTTTTTTTACATATAAATGAAAAAATAATTAAAATTATATGAGAAGAAATTAGATTGTTATTAGTTATTAGTTTATCATACCTGATAACCTGCAGTTCCAGTGATTCGAAAAGGTGACAATCCTGATGCAAATGATATAATAAATACTGGTAAAATCGATTTATGAAAATCTGTTGGTTCAAACGTCATCTTCAATTCTTTTAAATAATTTTTCAATTTTAATATTTTCATTGTAATGTGTTTTAAACAAAGAAATGATTCAATAATAGCAAAATTGTAACACTATTAGAGAAACGTAACTTCTAAGTAATAATATGGATATTTATTATAAAAAAAATTTCTATGAATTGAAATAATATATATTGATATATAGAAAGCTAACACAATCTACTAGATAAAATCACAAGTAAATTTAATTATACAACGGATTGAGGTATGTATGTTTATTATGCGTATTTGTACAAAAGTTTTATCGATCGCATACAATTTAATACATTTTTATACAAATAAAACAATATATATATATATATATATATATATTTATTATACACTATATTCACTATTAAAAAAATAAAAAAATTCCTAAGTTTATATTAGAAAATTAATTCAATATATAACGATTCACACAAATAAAGATTCGATTTAAGTTGGTATATACATAAGCTATGCATTATTTATAATTATGATTTTATTTGTGAATAATAAAAAAATAATTCAATTTAACAAATATGAACATAACTTTTATAAATAAATAGTTAAAATAAATTAATTTTTATAATCGAATATGCAATGTACAGGATTCGAGAATTGGAACAATATTATTAAATATATAGAACTCGATGCAACCATCTGGAAATTAATATAATTCGATATATTTTATACTGATTTATACAATAATAAATTTCATACCGATCGTAATAAAGTTGGTTTTAAAATGAATACACCACCAGCACTAAATTTTGGACTCCGAATAATTATTTGGATTGATAATTGGCTTAGCTAAAATAAATTTTGAAAAGATAATATAAACATAATATAATAAATTTCTGCACTTTAATTCATAATATAAAAATATATTTGCACATAACTAGAACTTACTCTTAATTTGGTGCATCTTTTTTCAGATTCATTTATTAAAACCAGCAGCTTTTTGTGACAATTTGTAATCTGAAATATTACAACAAAATCACTAAATTACATAAAAAGGTTAATTTTTAAATGAATAACATTTAAATCAATTGAAAATTTTGTTTTCATTTTACGTAAATTATTATAAGGACAATTATACAATACTTTGCAACCAAATATTATAAATTATAGAAAATTTTAAGCAAACAAATTTTGGAAAAAAAATTGGTAAAAAATGTTTTTGGAAAAAATTTTGGGAAATAAATTTTTTGGGAAAAACTTTTGGAAAAAACAAATTGCCCCAAATTTTATTCCAACAAAATTATTTCCCAAAAATTTTTCCCAAAATTTTCTCAAAAAAAAAAAATCCCCAAAATTTTGTTCCCCAAAAAAAATTGTATACAATTTAATATAATATAATATAATAAATTCTTCAGGAATGTAAATCAAATTGTTCCTATGACTAGAGATATAATTAGGAAAATAATATTTTGTACAACTTTTATACTTACTTCATTATAAAACTGTGCACAAAATACCACAAGACAAATCATCTGGCAGATATTGGCAATGAAAGGACAAAGAAAAAAAGTCATTACTCCAATATATTTTGCTAAATCAGCTTCATAGTCCATTATGGAAATCAAGCTATAATATGCAAAAAATACAATCATCACAAAAGCATCCAAACACAATACTAGCATTTGGTTGTTGAAATATGCATTTATATGATCTACAATTTCGCATAATTTTTCGTGCAATTTTCCAATAACATCTATTATAGTTGCATATTTTTTCTGTTTCATAGTATGCCTTTTTTCATCGCCATCTAGCCAAGCAGAAGTTGATATGATTTCCAAATTATTTATTAGTGTTTTAATAAGTCCCATCCTCAAAGTTAAAATATATACATAAAATGAAAACTGCAATATAATCATTGTACTGACAATATTGGGAAAAACAAAGGAAAACCATAATGATGCTCGAGGATAAATTCCATATAATCGAACTATTATCTGCGTAGTGAATATATAAGAAGAATACATCCAAATGATTACAATTGCAAAAAATATACTGAGTTTTCGTGTTTTATTATAAGTCTCTGTCAAAGAAAGTCCGATTCTCATAAAATCCAGATCAAGATCCTTCAGTAATTTGAGACCATCCAGTAGCTTTTTTCTGAAACCAATAAGGAACTATATTAAATAAACGAAATATACTTGGCTCAATATATTGTAATTATTGTGTTCTAATAATTGTAATAAAAAACTAGTTGGTTTGGTATTTAGCCTTGAGGCAAGTTACATGAACTTCCCGAAATGTGTAAATAATCGACTTAATCAAAGAAAAATGTGTAAATAATATACTTCATTAATCCTACTTTTTAAAAATCGATAATAATTTTAGCAAAATTTGACGAATTTTTAAAATTAAACTACTTGTCGTTAGGCCATAATATTACAGTAAGACCATGATGTATATCGCCAAAAAAATTTCCATGAAAATCGGCTTAAATTTTTTTTTCAACAGTTAATTACAAGAAAACGGCTCGGTAGATTTTCACCTAAAATTAATCAGTATCATTCCCAACTAATATCTTTCGAACAGTTTTCGATATTTTAAAATCGGTTCGGTAGGATGAGCTTAAATGTCGACGAAAATTTAAACACTTTTTTTCAACAGTTAATTACAAGAAAACGGCTCGGTAGATTTTCACCTAAAATTAATCAGTATCATTCCCAACTAATATCTTTCTAACAGTTTTTGATATTTTAAAATCGGTTCGGTAGGATGAGCTTAAATGTCGACGAAAATTTAACACTTTTTTTCAACAGTTAATTACAAGAAAACGGCTCGGTAGATTTTCACCTAAAATTAATCAGTATCATTCCCAACTAATATCTTTCGAACAGTTTTTGATATTTTAAAATCGGTTCGGTAGGATGAGCTTAAATGTCGACGAAAATTTAACACTTTTTTTCAACAGTTAATTACAAGAAAACGGCTCGGTAGATTTTCACCTAAAATTAATCAGTATCATTCCCAACTAATATCTTTCGAACAGTTTTCGATATTTTAAAATCGGTTCGGTAGGATGAGCTTAAATGTCGACGAAAATTTAACACTTTTTTTCAACATTTAATTACATGAAAACGGCTCGGTAGATTTTCACCTAAAATTAATCAGTATCATTCCCAACTAATATCTTTCGAACAGTTTTTGATATTTTAAAATCGGTTCGGTAGGATGAGCTTAAATGTCGACGAAAATTTAACACTTTTTTTCAACAGTTAATTACAAGAAAACGGCTCGGTAGATTTTCACCTAAAATTAATCAGTATCATTCCCAACTAATATCTTTCGAACAGTTTTTGATATTTTAAAATCGGTTCGGTAGGATGAGCTTAAATGTCGACGAAAATTTAACACTTTTTTTCAACAGTTAATTACAAGAAAACGGCTCGGTAGATTTTCACCTAAAATTAATCAGTATCATTCCCAACTAATATCTTTCAAACAGTTTTTGATTTTTTAAAATCGTTCGGTAGGATGAGCTTAAATGTGGACGAAAAGTTTTTTTCAAATTACAAAGAAACGGCTTGGCAGATCGTTGCACAAAACTGACAAACGATAGTCCTCACCGAAATACATCAAATGGCTTTTAAATTTCTAAAATCGGTTCAGGCGTTTTTGAGAAAACGTCGATCAAAAGTCTAATTTTGACAAATGCCAAAAAGACCATACTGATTTTTGCAAACTTTGACGAATTTTTAAAGCTGAACCAGTTGTCGTAGGGCCGTAATATTTTAGTATGATCTAGAAGACTATGGTATCTATCGTCAAAAAAATAATCATAAAAATCGTCGAAATTTTTTTTTTAAAAACTTTATTACAAGAAAACGGCCCGGCCGATCTCTACCAAAAACTAATCAGCACGATTCCCAACCAATATCTTTCGAACGGTTTTTGAATTTTCAAAATCGATTCAGAATTGCGGGCTAAAACGTAGACGAAAATTTTTCACTTTTCTGCCATTTATGAAGAAACGGCTTGGCCGATCGTCGCACAAAACTGACAAACAATAGTTCTCGTCGAGATACATCGAATGGCTTTTAAATTTTTGAAATCGACCCAGCCGTTTTCGAGAAAACGTCGATTTACGGCAAAAAATCTGTTCACATACACACACACACACACACACACACACACACACACACACACACACACACACACATACTTTTTCCAAATTTGGTCTCATTCGATTCAGAATGGCTTGAAACGTCGAGAAAACATAAAATTAGCGAATCGGGTTTTTTGATGAAAACATAAACTTCTCCTTCGGGAAGTTAATAATTCTTAGTAAAATTTTTGTTGATGATGTGTTGACATTTTCCCATTTTTTCAGATTTTCAGCTCATTACTACGGGAAGTTAATGAAGTTTTGATATTTATTAAAATGTGCCAGTATTTTCCGTCCTTCCTTACCTCTTTAATACTGTTAGGAAGTAAAAAGTGCTCAAAGTTGTAATTCCCAAATAAAGCTGAAAATTATCAGCAAACGATGTATTATCACTTTAATAAAAAATGTAAAAACCTCATTTTCGTGCAACGAAGTTGTTAATATTGACATAACATATAACAAGTAAAAGCATATCATTAATGATAATCCCAGTAAATTCAGTCGAAGTTCCTGTAATATAAATGAAAAATATATTATTAATATATAATATTCACATTAATGTTCAAGATTTAATGAGAAATTTATTTATTAATATATTACATTAAGGTTTGTCGAAATTTTGAAAGGACCAAGACCAACTGACATTGGCATCCAAAATTGCACTGCAATGGAACTGTATAAATCGTTAGCACTAAGAAATTTTTTTAAGCTAGATTTTATTATTTTTATATTCAACATTTTTATTTTATGTAAAAGTTTGAATTTGTTATTATAATTTTGAGTAGAGAAGTTTTTGTGATATATTTTTGTATACATATTAAATTATACTCAGTCATGCAAGAAATACATTTCTTCCGGGTCAAAATAAAACCAATACTATATGCATAATCTAATCAATATTAATTGCACATAAATTTTAAATGGCTTTTCTCTATTACCAAAAACATAAACGTAGTTCATTTTAATATCAATAAATCAATTACTGGAACAGTATTGCTAGTAAAAATTTACCATACTTATCAATTTTTTTTAATATAAATTAAAACGCAGTTTCCAGTGCTTTTGGTGATATTTGATACATTGTCAACAATTGGCATTTACAGTTAGTAAAATATTATACATTTTAATATATCTATATATATCTAGAAATTGTGTAGGTAAAAATAGGCACATACATACATCATATTCTTTCAAAATATTTATATTATATAACAATCACTTGGACTAATGAATTTAAACAAAGTTTACTAACACAAAATCTATCCCAATTTCAAGTTAATATATTGGCACATTTCCGTGCCTAGAGGATGATATTGACTTCAAATCAGAGATACCACGTTAGATACCTGTCTCGGACAGCCTGATGTCAAGCAGCAGTGACATCGTTTTTCAATAACAAGCAAAGTATTACTAACTATGTTTGTTAGTGAAAAACGACGTCACTGCTGCTTGACATCAGGCTGTCCGAGACAAGTATCTCGGTTTCCAAGTGAAAATTCTTCTTTTGTGGTATTGTCGCATAACTCTAAATTTATCAGTATTACATAAATTGTGTTAATAAATCTCATCGCATAGTATTAGAGCAACCAATTGAGTTTCCATGTATAAAAAATAAACGTAGTTTAAGAAATTTAGCACAACAAATGATAGGACTCGTTAAATTCTGATTGCTGTTAAAAATATATCAATAAATGTCCACATATCAATCTATCTATAGAGAAACAGAAAAAATATTTTTATATTGTTGATATATACACATGAATGAGAAACAAATAATAAACTAGTAGTGTATGGCATCGTGCTTTAAGGAAAATTGCTGGAAATTCCCGTACCGTCAAAATGTTCAAGGAATATTAAATGTTTTCAAACAGATTATTATAAATGTTGTAATATCGTTTAATATTCATAAGAATTATATAAACTGAATTATAAAATTAAAATTATTTACTTAAAGTATATAAGTGAGCTTTGGAACTTTAACCAGAATCATAATTGAAATCTGAATTATTTTCGATATTCAAAAAAAAATAAATAAATAAAAAAAAATTGAAATAATTTATTTTTTCAAAAGCAATTATTTTGTCAACAAGCAGAAAGTTTTTTGAATCATTCAAATCAGATGCTTATTTCTCTCAAAAACTGCCAGTTTTTGTACACTTAGCTCTGTATCTTCTGAATGGTTGGACCTGCCTTTGCCAAAAACTAATCACTACTTCTCCCAATCATTACAAATTAAATGTTTTTTAGATCACTCAAATCGGATGCTCCGTTCTCTATTTCTATTTTTTGCACTCTATGCTCTTTATCTCCATAACGGCTGGATCTGCCTTTGCCAAAAACTCATCAACACTTGGAATCGAATGTTTTCTGAACAATTCAAAGCGATTGATCCGTGCGCCCGAAAACGTGAACGAAAAAGTGCGGACACACAAAACCCACACTCACACAAACATCCATTTTTTCTGAGGTATGCCAAAATGTTCAGATACCTTCAAAACGTACCATAAGCAATTTTCTACACATCACTAACAATCTTAATTTTCTAATTATTAGTGGTACAATATTTTTTCATGAAGATAATTCTCTATAAGTTTAGACATTGCTATTTGTTTTTACCATTTTGCAAAAATATTCGTGACCCAACATGGCCCCTGGGCTTCTTTGAACTTTAAAAGACATGAGAGGGCCTATGAAGACCGAGTTTTGATAAAATTACGTTTTGAATACCATCAAATATATACGAAAGAGAAAATTATTCGAACACGTTCTAAACTTTGTTAAATATTATAAGCTGGTGTAATTATGTGTTAATAACTGTTGCATCATCTGATGAATCTTTCTCATCATTACCGTTAAAGGTTATATTGATTTGAGTTATTAAATTATTTTAATTATATAATTTTGTTTTGGTAAATGAGAAGATAACTGTAAAAATTTAACCAAACCAATTAAGTCTGAGAAAAATGTAGGCATCCTCTCGGTTAAGCTTTTAATATCCTGCTATTAAACAAAATGTTAAATATAAAAGTATCTTTACTAGGTGTAAGTAACATTTTGACTTAATGCAAGTTTTATGAGCTTCCAGATATGTGTAAATCGACTTAACTAATAAGAATTTAATTCAACAATTTTTAAAATTGTGGTTATTTCAAGCTTTCAGTCATTATTGAATCACTTCTTAAAATAGTTGCAATAGGTTTTTGAGAAAATGTGGACGAAAAGTGAACATCAACAAGTCATTTCTAGTTTCGTCCCAACCGATTTAGAATGACATAACATGTTGAAATAACAAAGTTAATAAACATATATTAATATTTGAGGATACAAACTTCTTTAAAAATGAAAATTAAACATATCCAAACATGCTCAATAAAAACTATATTAGTTTTTGCTAGCTTTACCGAAATATAGAAAATAGTGCGAATTTATCCGAGAACTGGTCTTTTAGATTAGAAATTAATTTAACTGACCCTAATATTAGAAAATCTTTCAAAAATCAGTTTTCCTTTTCCTTCATAGATTTCATTTCCTGCAACTTATCAAAGAACTACGCATATGGGAAAAAGATTTCAATTATAATCAGCGTTTAGAGAAAGTATCTTTCTATAACTTACATTTCAAATTTAAAAATAATATGTCCTTGAATCATTTACTGCATGATGATTCGTGATGAAGTAGTTCTACTGTAAATGAAGACACAAATTTTCTGCACTATCTAAAGTTATAAACATTCAATATCACGACCTCGAGATTTTATTCTTAATAATCGTAATTGAAATTTAAAAGTTTGATATGAATTTTTTGTCACCTTAATTTTTTGCAATTTTTATTGACAAGTATAAATGTAGAAGTTGAAGATCGATACAAAAAAAATTAATAAATGCATTCCAATGTTATATCTAAACTTAAATACGAAAAAAATATTATTATAATTTCTTTATTTTTTTGAATAAATTATTAGGTTTTTTTTAATACTGCAACTTAAATAAATTAAAATTATCGAAAAACTAGGTTCAAATCAGAAAATAAAAACATTCTATAAAGGTTCAAATTTTACACAAGTTTTTTTGAATAGCGATTAGAACTATATGTTCAATAAGGTATGCTTACTATACTATATTACCTAGAATTTTTCTCGAATGAGCAAAGTATGTTCCAAATTGGTTCATCTATAAAGACGCCAATATCAGATATCAGTAGTTAACGATAAAATATTAACTTTTCTGACAAGTACAAACGCTGCTTCTAAGATCACCGAACTTATCACAGAACTTTTCCAGAAATCAGAGCCAGATTAAAATGGACATTATTCGACAATAATTTTGGTCTATTTCAAAGTTGCTATCAATGGACAGGTTATTTTGTATTTTGTAACCCTGTTTTATTCTTAAATTTTTACTTGATGCCAATTTTAAGACAATTATAAAAAATATAGTATAATTAAAAAAACTCAAGACTTTAGCTAGTCTATTAGTATAATAAGTTTTAGTTAGTTTCACTGAAGGTCAAATCCGGCCCGAAGGACCAAAAAACGTAGAGGCTCGGCGTAATGTATATTGTAAAAGGGAATAATTATAGGAAATAATTGTAGGTAACAATACAGATACTTTAATTAGCTCGAAGGACCAGATATAATGTATTACTAAATAGGCTTCATAAAAAATATAAGAAATATATTACAGCTGTCAGCTCAGCATGTGAAAAATTAAAGTATATATAGTTTGTTAAATTTAAAATAAACATAAGATCACAATCCTAGTTTTGAATAAAATTATAATAAATTCTTTTAATTATTTCAAGCTGGATGAATCTTGCATAAATTATACCTTCAAAAATATTATTTTATGTTTAAATTATAAAATATATTGATAGTATACCTAAATAAATCCAAACAGATTTTTCTAATCAATATTTAACTTCCCGCAGGACAAGTTATAGTAATCGCAAAAAAACGAAAATGAAAATTTTTACATATCTTTACGTCTCAAAGATTTCTGAGCATTTTGGCATATATTAGAAAAAATGGATTTATGTGTGTGTGTGTGCGGATACAAATTTTCGTTGAAGGTTTCAGGAATGCGGATCAACCGATATGAATAATTCAAAAAACATTTTACTTGTATTGACAAGATAAAAAACTGATTGAATTTTTGGGAAGGCAGGTCCAGCGGTTATGGACTCTCACTAAAAAATAAGTTAAAAAAATGTCTTTTGGCGGCCAAAAATAACCAGACATATGCACATCAACTTCTCAGATATTTTATAGAAATTTTCATAATGTGTACACATTTTGTGTAAACTTTATTGGATTCCGTACCAAGATTTTTAATTTTGAAATTTATTTATATGCTTCAAACAATTTTCTCG